CCCCAAAACCCCAAAACCCCAAAACCCCAAAACCCCAAACCTTTTAAACTGTGTTGAACCTTAAAACCAAAGATGTGACTATGATAATAGTTTTAATGAGATTCTGTATCCTTTAATCGGAGATTATTACTTCGTTGTATCAGATCTACCGAGTTGGGAGGATGCTATCTCTTCTATTTTGAAAGTTTTCAATGTTTGATCTTATATCTCTTTCAAGTTGGACTCTTGGATTAGAATAGCTCACAACAGCGACATTATGACTAGGGCTTCCTCTCTCCTCTTCCTCTTCAAAGGAGTTCTTTCTCTTCTTGTTAGGCTTATTAACCATCTTTCAATGAGGACATATAAGATGCTCGTCGTTCTTGATATTACAATACCACTCTTTAAGACAATTTATATGAAATGTATGGGAGCACTCCCGAGTGATACAAACATTGCTGTCCATATTAAATTCTTCAAGGCAGATAACTCAATTCTCTTGTTCGAATTTCTGAACCATATTAGAAATACTTCCTTGAGTCATCGAGGCAATAGTGTCATTTATCCATTTAGTTCGATTATGAACTAAGCATTTTCTTTCCCTCTCGACTTCAGCTCTGGCTCTTCTTTCTCTCATCCACTGCCTTAACGAAAGGAAGAGAAGTATAAATGTGACTATGGCAAAGGCCAGCATGACCACTCCCAGGATAACAGAGATAACCACTGCTGAAAGTACGTTAGTTTTTTCACTAACCCTTTCTATTTTAATAGAATAATCAGAGTTAAGTGACAATTTATCAGCCCTTACGGATATATATTTCACATCATCCAGCTTCAGTGTATTCTGAGTAGAGTTTCAAGAGCTTAAATCATTTAAGTAATAATAATTTGCACCGTTCTTAGTCATTACATAGATATAGAGGTCCTCATAGTTCTCAGGGCTTTTGGTGATATCAATTTGTACTGAATCATAATCTTCCATCACGAATTTCCACTCTCATAGTGATTCAGAATTATCCACCGGGGCTGACGATTCATGGCCTAGAGTGACAGAATTTTGATTATTCTCACCCATGTAAATGTATCCGACCTTTTTAGCTGAGACTCAATTTGAATAGTGCACTTGTTGAATGTATGGCTTTGTCTTGATTCTAGTGCCAAGAGAATTTTTACATACTCCATTTAAAAAAGAACAGGCTGAGTAAGCTGAGCATGAGTTTCATTGAGTCAGAGTCCCTCAGTTTAGTAAGTCTCTATGTCCTTGAAACTCTCTAAAAGCTGTTACTTGGCCCAGTATCATCATAGATAGCATGAAGAAGTACGCATAATAATGTTGTTTCACCATTGAGATATTTAGAATAAAATTCGATTTAGAATCGTCAATAATATTTAACTTATATGGGGTTTTGGGGTTTTGGGGTTTTGGGGTTTTGGGG